ATGTGACTTCCAAGGTTAGTCCCAAGATGCCTTGCGTCTTTTGCACTTGCTGTTAGAAGCATACAATGGCTAGATGAAGCTGAGCTTCTCCAAAAGACTCATGGCCTAGATGGCAACCAGACAAATGAGAATAAGGTCAAGGCAGGTCACCCTGCTCTATTTAGGCTGCCAACTGTCAGGAACCATGTGAGGGCCCCAGGTGAGACCAACACAAAGAAATGATAGGCTCAAACTGCTGACTCACAAACCTGTGAGCAAATAGCAAAACTGGTTTAAGCCACTAAACTGTGGAGTAGTTTAAGTAGTAAAAGAGAACTGTTAAGAGAGGAAGAGGAGGGGGAGAGAGAGAGGGAAGAGGAGAGGAAAGGAGAGGGAGAGGGAGTGCTCGTTCAGTGTGGGAAAATTGGATAGGCTCTGGGCTTGGAGCAATAACTCCCTTCATCAGAGGGGCTTCTCCTCTGACTTTGTCTGGGGAATTCTAAGCCCACCCATACACCTGCTGCTATCTGAGGAATATCACATAGCCTCAATTAGATTACAGGGTCAATTTCCTTTCTCCAGACAAAACCTGTTCAGCCAGCATCTGAGATTCCAGAAATGCTTCCCTATGCTAATGAGGTATTCTAGGTTAAGCCCCAAGCCAATGACCTTTGCCCATTCTGGATGTTCCTACCCTCAGTCCCCTAAAGCTTAATAAGCCTTGAATCACCCTAAGTAAAGTTGATCGACCTCCTGAGAGCTGGTCTCAATGATGAGAGTTTCTCACCAAATGCACCCACAGGATTACAGAACCCCCAGCAGGGAGACCAACAGTTCAGCATTTGTTAGGCCCTAGGTTTGAACCACAGCAGAACTTGAAGAAAACTAAATGTGTTCTAGCTCTACTAAAGTTACATATATGACAAAAAGATAAAAATTGGTTGAGATTTCCTAGCTTGAAAGGAAAGAAAGGTTAAAGTCTAAAACAAAACATAAACAAAATGGAAATGAAAAAACATAACTTTACAGTGAAGAGTATGGTAAGAACATGAAAGAAAATACAGAATGTAACTGGGTCTTAGAACTGAGTGTAGGGAAATCTTTTCTTCAAATGCAAAGTCTAATAATTAAAAAGTCTAAACCAAAAACAACTCTGCCAATGCTCTCTTGCTTTTAATTTGCATTTAAGTAGAAAGGGTTAAACTATTTACAGCACAACTGTTGATATGATTGGGCTTAAAGGTTTTTACATACAGGAGCAAATGATCTGGGAAGAGAGATAATTTTACTTCTCTTTTCCAATTTAGAAGTTGTATTTATTTTATACGTTTGAGAATTTTGCATGAGTACATGCATGTGTGTCACATGTAGACCAGGTGCTTAGAAGATTAGAAGAGGATCGGGTCCCCTGGAGCTGGAGCTATGGGTGGCTCTGAGCCACCATCCTCTGCAAAAGCTGGTAACTGCTAAACTGCCTTTCAAGCCCCAATGCTTTTCATTTCTCTTTCATGATTAATTCCTCAAGGTAAGACTTCCAAAACTATTCTAAAAAGAAATTGTAAGGGAGGGGATCCTCTGTCATGTCCTAACTATAGATGAGGTACTTTCAATCTCTTATTGGCTATTATGGTGAGATAACTATTTCATCTTCCCTTAAAAATTTTGATCAACTACCCCTTTTTCTAAACTTCTTAAAGGTTTTATAAATTTTTATTGAGACTGTTACAATTACCCTCAGATAATATAACTTTAAATATAGTCAGAAGAATGATGTCTTTTACAATGGTGTCTTTTCTTTCTAATTCCTCACGCCCAAGTACTATAACTCCAAATATTATACTTTTTTTTTTAGATTTATTTATTTTTGTATGTGTGAGTATACTATAATGGTCTTCAGACACACCAGAAGAGGACATCAGATCCCATTACAACTGGTTGTGAGCCACCATGTGGTTGCTGGGAATTGAACTCAGGATCTCTGAAAGAGCAGTCAGTGCTCTTAATTCCTGAGCCATCTCTCCAGCCCACATAATGTACTTTTACTTATAAACTATCCTCCATGAACAAGCCTTATTCTGTCTACCAGATATCCCATTTAAATATTTAAAATGAGAGATGTCTCAAACATTAATCTTTTAAAAAATTTGTGTACGTGTATGCACATGCACACAGCATATGTGTGGATATACGATTGTAGGCACACATGGAGATCAGAGGACAATTTAAGGTATTGGTCCTCACCGTCTACTGTGATTGAGACAGTCACTCATTGTTATATTGGCCAGGCTAGCTGACCCAAGAGCTTCTGTAGACTCTACTGTCTCTGCCTCCCACCTTGCTGTCAGAGCGCTAGGATTACAGACACACACTACTACTTCTTCTGGGTGCCCTTGGGGTCTGGGAATCTGAACTCAGGTCCTTATTCTTAGATGGAAAATGCTTTACTCAGTGGGACATCCTCCAGCCTCTCAAGCATAGCTCTTAACTGTTTCTGTTTCACACTGCATCCTCTTCCCCTAGCTCACAAGATCAGACCACTGCCCTTCTGGCCTTCAAGGGCTACCTCATCTCTTCTGCCCATTTTCATTAGTGACTGCCATTGTTCTACCTTCAAAGTTTTAGGTAGAACCATAGTTCAATCTAATGCATTATGAATCTTTCCATCTTTAGGATTCTAACTCACCAATATCTATCCTTTTTCTCTAGGTAATTTCAAGAGATCTCAACCTGGCTTCCTAGCTTTCACTTTACCCAGAGTCTATCAGCCCACAGCTACCAGAATTGTCTTTCAAAGACAAATCAAATTTTACCCATTTCTGTCATTTTATCAAATCCAGTGTGGTCTGAGCGCCCCATACAACCCCGTCTCTTCATGTGTCCTATCAGTTCCCATCGCGTTCTCTAGGTTCCAGACACAGTGACTTTCTTACTATTCTTTACAAAATGGCCACTGAATCAGGAAGAGAGTTTTCACCAGAAACTGACCTTGTTGCTCCTTTAGCTAGGACTTCTAGTCTATCAAAAATAAAGCTACCTAGCCTGTGATATTTTGTTTTAACAATATGAGCACAGATTAATACAGGGAAAATAAAAAATTCTGTTAATTATCTCACATTCAACATTTTAAAAATATGGTAAATAAGTCTACACAAATTTTTAAATTCTAGCATTTAAAAACTAATACTGTAAGTCAGGAAGATATGCATTCTTTCATTCTCTTGTGCTAGCTGCTCCCTTATCACAGGGTCTGTGGCAAACTATTATCATTGCCAGTTGAGTTATTTTTGTATCCTCAATATCTGCTCACTCAACTAGATCTGCAATAAGCCTCAGTTCCTCTGGATCTCTTAAGTCAAATACCTATTCTGATTACATACTCTTCCCAGACTTATCACAGTCACCCAATGGTCTGATTTAACAGACTAACTTCTTTTTAATGGCAGAAGACACGTTTATTTTTATTCCTCCTCAAATGTCTGCAATCAGTACCTCCACAAGGTCCTACATATGACAATGTATGTTAAAGGAACATACGAGAGGAAGCAGTCCTATTTCTATGGTCTCCTGTCTAGCACATCTGAACTACGGATTACAAGTTAAAGATCTCTGCTTCTCCACTCCTAGATGCTCTCAACAACAACTACACTTCCATAGTATAAATGAAAGTTAGTTAACCAAATGTTATTGGTACACATCAATTGCCAAGCTACAGACAAATAGATGGCCTTGCAATAAAATCTCTTATTGTTTAAGGATATATGTTCTAGTTGATTAACAAACCTCTGATTGGTCAGTTTTAATACCCCAGTCTATAGGAGATCTAGGAAACAGTGGTTATTTTTCAGGCTGGCATGAAGAACCATCACAAGCAAGGACAGAAGAGCTAAAGATGTCACCACAGTTCTGGAAGGCACCTCACAAAGAACAGGTAATAAAACTATGTATGCATGGATTCTCAGTGTATATTTGTGTCTGATGTGTACTGCCATGTCTCAATGGTATATTACAGCCTTTTCAAAATTAGGATAGCAAGTAACTACAACTATCTTCTCTTCAACTATCAATATGTTTTTCAGTATAATGCTTTTCAGAAAAGAAGCTACATCATTTAAGGTACATTATATTTACACTAAAGACAATTCTTCATTTTCTTTTATGGTAGGTTATTAAGCCAGTTTAAAACAATTATTTTACTGATAATGTAAATATTCTAAGGCTTATTGGAACTATTAAAAACAGAATTGTGTTGTTAAGTTCCTAAAGTAAAATAAGGCTGTGTGGTTACTTCAAGTTGTGGATACAATAGTGAAAAATGGGATTTTCTTTTAACCTGTAAAATTTAGCACAGAAGCAAAAATCTCTAATCGGCCTAGCACCCCCATGTACTAACATGTCCTGTTTACACTTTCAGTCTGTGCTCACGCACCTTATCACTAACCATATGAGGCTATTTCCATCTAACCTTACAATCTGTAATACTAAAACAGCCTTTTAGTGAACTCTGAAAACATAGCTCAAGTTCTCAAGAGGACAGAAGAGGAAAAATTAGTTTATTGACTAAAGCAGAAAATTTCTCCTGCTTTGTTCTCTGTCTGAGGCCTCCCATTGGGCCTGGGGTGTGGGGATGAGGAGACAGTCCAGAGAGAGACAATCTGTCAGCTATCTGGATGCCTTGTGCTGAGAGACTGCTGCTAGCTCTGAGGACAGAATATGCCCCTTTCCTCTTCCCTTTTCTTCCTGCCTCAGGGAGAGGCCAAAGTCTCCAGCACTTTAGACAGGGCATTTTGAGGATAGAGAACTCCCCTCTCTCCCCACATTTATTACCCAGATCATCAATCAAGACAGACCTTCAGAGGAAAGCTGAGTCACTCTCCTTCCTTTTCTGTCCCCCGCCCTCTCACACTCATTCACACACAGAGAAGGTCTGATTAGCTAAGTGCATACCCTAAGGGCCACAGGTTCCGTATCAGAGCTGGTTATTAACTGTGCATGTAGAAAAACCATGAAATTGTACCCATTACCTCAGTGGGACTCTGGAGACTTAGGTCTAAGCCACAAGTAAACTCTGTGTGATGCTCCACTGTTTCCAGAAGCGGATCAGGCTTTGAAAAATTCCAGAATCTGTGACAATAAAAAGAGAGAGGGGAGAAAAAGAAAATACAAGTGCTAAAACACTTCTATGAACAAGTAGATACATGATGGCATAGAAAAGATTTTATCACAACAGGCTCAACTAACTCACAAATGCCCATCCCACCATTGATTTCCATAAAACACCTAGTAAGGAAAGCACGTGCTCCATTCTAATAGGTCAAAGAACAAAAGAAAATTACTAATCTGCCAAGTTTTAAAAAAAAATTACTGTGTTCTCATTTTGATAGCTTATAAAACAGAAGCTTAGAAAGATTTGTTTAGAAAAAAAATTGTTAAACTCTGAAGGGCATTTGGCAGTGCTTTCTCTCCTAGGTGTTTCTCAAAGTAATCATGTCTGGAAAACAAGAGTATTGGATTAGATGAACTCTTAACATTTTGTGATTTTTTAAAATTCTATTTCATTTCTAAACAAATAATATGAAAAGCACTTAAGTTTAATTTACATTTCAACAGCAATTCAAATTCTTTAAAATGAACCTGTTCTCCTGTGAATATCACTGTAAACTCTGACACTCTCTTTTCAGGCATAGCCTTTCTTAGAGATTCCCCATCAATGTCATTTCCAGAGGCAAGTCAATAGTTTATATTCTACTTCTTTTTTATAAACTGAGACTGACAATATTTACCATAATACAGCTCTGATTTCTGTTGTTCAGAACATTTTTCTCTATTTTCAATACATAAATTAGTATTTGAGCTTTATAAAGCTTTGTCTGCTTAACATCTTTTTATGTATTCTAAACACACTATAAAACAGCACATTCACAGTCCTAGGAATCATCTCCTAATTCAGCTTTTCTAATGATGTACAATGTGGAACATGCTGGAGGTTGGGCTGGCCTCTCTGAAAGAGAGCAAACATACAAAACCAACAGTCACAGTTTGTTTAACCTGGTGGTATTATTTCCCTAATAAACACAGTGCTGGCCTTATTAAGTTTTGAAAAGGACTGTTGCTATGGATAATCTCCTGTGTGGGTAGCAGAGAGATACTAAACAAACAGCTCATTTATCTGATTACTGAGAGCTACAGAATATTTAGGGAGAGGATTTTGCTTTTGAAAATGTATCTTTTCAAAATAAATGAGGGTACGAGCCACAAACCTTCTCAGAAATGCTAATGGTAGTTTTCTTGGTTTTGCATGCTTGTTCCTAGACAGTGAGTTGTACCAAGACCAAATTTTCTGAATCTTAACAATGTTTATATAAGCAAAAGTAAGCTTGTAATTGTACAGTTTTGTTTCTAAAAACCAGTTATACACTAATTTGCATTATTTGAGACAATAATCAGATGCTTTTGCATATGTATCCAAAATGTTCCAACCATTCATAATGGTTTTTAAAATATGCATTTAGTATGACAAAAATGAATTAAGGGAAAGTTGAAGGTAGGAAAGTAAGTTGGACCCTTCAATGAGATTAATAAATAACAATACATTCCCTGAAGTCTTATGTGCTTGACAGGAAGGAGTTTGAAGATGCTAAGCTTTCTAGCAGTCACCAGGAAACACATTATCAAGTCCTAGACTTGCATCTGTAAACATACTCCTCACTGCTCACTCAGGAGGAAACTCTCTTTTGAGAAATTATAGGCAAGATTATGTTTATATGTTTTTAAAAATGTTATTGAGACCTCTTCAATACACAGAGACATGCCACGAGCTGTCACTTGTCAGTCAATGGCATCACCCAAAGGATCTCTAGTGTCAGCTAGCATAACCCAGCTACTCAGCTCTTTGATTTCACTGTGCAGTTAGGTTTATTTCGAAAGAGTGGGTAGGCTAAGTCATCTTTATATAAAGTGTAAACTTGTTATATTAGAAGTTTTCAAGGAGAATAATGAACAACAGGATCCAGGAATACAATTTCTGTTACTGCTGTTGTGAGCCAGTTAAGGTAATGCTTCATGAGAACGAAAGAGTGGGCGTTGTGAACTGCAAAGACCTGAGACAAGGACGTGTGTGTGTGTGTGTGTGTGTGTGTGTGTGTGTGTGTCCATCCAAATGGCTGCAAGCATGAGGCGTCTGAGAGACCTAAGAGTCCATTTGGATGTGCTCAGTGTGAAACTAAATGGGCCCCACAGGCCTGGAAGCTCCAAACTTAGTCACAGCCAACAAAACTTCAAGAACATCATCAATCAAGTGTTTGTGTGAGTTTATTTTAAAAAGAAAAAAAAAAGACCTCAAACAAAATTCATGATAAAAGGTCCTAAATTTAAAAAACAACTAAAAGCCTCAAAGTAAAACACCAAAACAAGCTGCCATCACCAAAGCATCTCAGAAGCACACATGAGAAACCCCGAGGTGAAAATGAAGGAGAGACTGTAATTCAGAACAGCAAATGGGACAGTGGCTAATCGTGGAGGGAGAACTGTGGCTTCTCATTTCTTTTCTCTACCACTTTTTTGTTTCCCTTCAGTTTTTTGAGACAAAGTCTCATGTAGCCCAGGATAGCTTTGAGCTGAATATGCATCTAAGGCTGGTCTTAAACTCCTGATCTTCCTGCTTTAGCCTCCTAATGCTGGGATGACAGGTATGCTATGCTATACCTCACTTCTGAAGCTTCAATTTTCTCAAGGGAAACAAGAGCCAGGAAAGGTAAAACATGTGCACACACACACACACACACACACACACACACACACACACACACTGATACTGCAATTTAAATTTGGTATACTAAAACGTATTGTTAAAATATCATTAAATGTGGTAAATCACATAAGCTAAATAAACTGAAAAAACAAACTAGGCAGTATGCCAGCAGACTACAGTTTATCTTCAAATTGTAAATAGTTTTTAGTAACAAAAGAAATACTTGTATCACTCCCCTCAATGCCTCTGATTTAGCAGAAGAAATACTTGTAGTAGCAACCATGGTGGATATTCCAGTGTATATGCTTCCAGAATGGTTACACTTAACTCCAGTCAAGCCCCACCAGCAAGAGTGAGTTATCAGTGGCAAAGTGTTTCTCTAAGTTTCCTTATTGTACAATGAAGTAAGCAGCCTGTTCTTCCCTTGCAACCTTCTTCTGGACTCACCACAGCAAACAGGGGTTGTTCTTTTCTGGTAGAAGTCGTCCAGAGACACCATTAGCTGGGCAGATAAGGGACATTGTTTTCCAGTGAATGTTTGTTTTGGTGCAGCATATACACTACTTGGTGCCTTTTTGTCTCTTGGCTGATAAAATCACTGACTATTTAAGCTCTCTGATAGAAAGTAAATACTGGACAAGACTCCAATGATTAAAATATGGCAGAACTGTAGGGCATTTTTCATTTAAATTGGAGATCATATTACAAGTTACTTTTTGTCTTCTGACTCCACTGTTTTTTTTTAACAAAGCAAGTATAAAGCATTATTAAATAGAACATCAAAATTATTTTAAGAATTAGGCAGAAGCTACCTGTGTCACTGAGATGTAATCTGAAATGTTTACAGTAACACTTCTGAAGTGTAGGCAACAGGTGAATTTAGCAAAATACTTCAAAGCACTCTTAAGACCTCATCCTTTCCCATGACTAACTGCAGCCATGAGACAGCCATCTACTCCTTAGGACTCTGCTACCACAAGAGAAGACAAGGGCCTGCTTTGGTCACTTTCAGTGTGTTGCATGTGTGTTAGGTAGAGTTGTATGTTCAGTTTTAAATACATGCCACCACCATAATCTCCTCCACTTGTGTTGCTAATGGCCAAGTCTCTAGAACAAAGAGCAGAGAATGTCACACTTCTTTCACATTCAAGGACAAGGAAGGTGCTGCACAAGAAGTCAATGGTTGGTCTCTGGTAGCCTAGGCTGACACTGAACTCACTGTGCAGGGCTCATTTGGGAGAGCAGGGATGTAAGAAGCGATGGACTGGAGGTCTATTTAAGTAGAATTAAGTCGGATGATTAATGGAACCAAGAAATTCAGGATGAGCCCATGTTTCTAGTTCTGTGGATTAATTTACAGATCTGTCATCCTCTGGTAGCCTCGAAGCTCCTTGAATTGAGGGACAGTCTTATTCTTTATATTTTTGCATGTATAGAAGTGTCTGACATAGGCTGGACACATAGCTCAGTGAGAGCACTAAATTAGCATGTGAAAGGCCCTAGGTTCAATCCCTAGCACCGAGAACACAAAGTGTCTGCTCCACAGACCACCAGAGAATCCCCGGGAGTGGATGAAAAACATTTAGCACATGACAGATAACAAATCCCAGCCTCACACATAGATTCCCAAATAATGGACCACGGACTCATTCAGAAAACAAAAAAATACCTCAAATCTGTGCCTGAAAATTCCAACTGAGTGGCATTCCTGGAAAAGCTTATCTTAGGAAATGCTGGTGCCCAGCGAACTAAGTTTAGGGACCACCATCTAAAGCAATGCTTCTTAAGTATACTTCAACAGACACAGAATTGATAATCTCCCCTTAGACCAACAGCAGTTTCAGGCAGAAAGAGAAAGCCAACAAAGTCAATAGTGCAGTGGTTCTTGACCCTGGCTACCCTGAAACCAACTGAGAAGAAATGTTAAAAAAAAAAAAAAATCCAATGACTGAGTCCCTGATGTAGAGGGAGGCATTACCCAACAACTCAATCACTGATTTTTAGACCAATAGTTTTCAAACTTAAGCTCACATCAGGATCACCTGGAGGACCTACTGCAAACAAATTCAAAAGCTCTGGAATTTCCCAAGACATTTTGGAAGAAACAAGTCCTAAGTGCTGGTCAGGCATGATGGTACTGTGGGAATCACTGCCCCAAGGTTGCTACAAGTGAGAATTTATTCACACTCTTTTGACTCCAGCAAAACTCTGGGGAGGGACAAATATGTTAGAGACTAAGTCCCAGAGGTAAAGAAATGCTGTTATTTCATGCAAATTATCTTCACCTACAAGGCTGCTTTCTTCTACATTATTAATAGAAAGCAATGAAATTCAATTTCAATGCTCCTCTTTTCCAGTCATCAACAAATAAAGA